CGATTGGCTGGGAATACCCGTCACCTATCCGGATCAGCCCGACGGGTCACCCGTTGACCCGCGGGTACAATCACTATATGTTTGGCATGATGCCAATTTACCTGGCATAAGCATTTGCAAAGCCCTAATAGTAACTGTCAGAATAAATAAGAATATCTATAATAAACTAAAATTAAAATTTTTTAAATATTAAACATTTTCACTTAATATTAATCTAGTAACTATAGTGTTAAACACCACTGGTATAATTTAATAATGGCAAAAAAAATTTTTTAAAAAAATAAATCAAAATAAATCTAAAATTGCTTATAGTTTAAAATACTATTTAAAGTTTACTTCTGATATTTTCATTTTCGTCGGCAATTTTAATCAACATTTTACCAGTATTCTCACCTTTAAATAGTCTTAATAATGCTTGGGGTGCATTTTCTAAACCTTCTACTATGTAATCTCTTCTCTTAAGCTTTCCTTGCTGCAACCATTTTGAAAGGTCAAATATTGCTTCTTGAAATCGATCTTGATAATTATAGCTATGCGTTCAGATAAATTAATAAATGTTGCCACCTCATTACTTTTTAAGCATACGTTATGTCGCATTACTTACACAATAAACCCTTCCATTCTACCGCTCTGAGCAATCAAAGTAACATAATTGCCAGGCCCTTTATAATTTACTTCGTTATATTGGCTGATAGCTCCACACAATACTATTCTAGCAAACTTCGCTATCCTTTTTAAACAAAGATTTAATATGTCACCCCCAACGTTATCAAAATATACATCTATATAATTTGGCGTTGCCTGGATTAATTGCTTATGAAAATCGGGATCACGATAATTTAAGGCAACATCAAAACCTAATTCATCTACTATCCAAGCGCATTTTTCAGGAGAGCCGGCTATGCCTATTACTCTTGCACCTTTGATTTTTGCAATTTGACCTAACAATTACAACAAAGGTAAATGATGAAATATATCGATAATTCCATAATATATTCATTAATTACAAGAATGAACACACACATACCAACCACACTTCCTGTTGCACCAGCAGCCTAAAAAATAATAATTACGTAATTACATGGAAATAGTGGAAATATCATTCATATGAGAACTTCAGAAACTTACACCCGACACAACAACAGTTTCCCCAGCTTTTAGTTTACCTACAACATAAATATAGAGTGTAAACAAATCAATCAATAGACTTGTAAAAATCAGTGTTTGGCAATTGGATTTATAACATTGGGCTTATAGATTCCGCAGAAGTTCAAAACCAATCAAATTATTGTAAAATCAATTCAAAACTTACCAACTATTTATCGAAAGCACAATTCAATAATATACAATAAAATAAGATATTGGCAATATAAAAGTATATGATTTAGTAGAAGAATTAAGAGACTTACCGTCTAACAGTCCAAAATACGCAGTCAGCCCGGTTATACCAAACAAGCCGAGATAATCACAAAGAGAAGCTTTAGGTGGTGGGCTATACAAAATTCAATTATACATTTAATGCTAATAAGTATGCGACTAAATCACACGACAAACTTACAAAAGTTTTGTAACACCCTTTCCGTCACTAACTGCATATTCTTGCCAACCTGTAAGAAAAAAATTAATAAATAAATAAATAGAATTTCTAAAATTGCCTCCAAAATCAATACAATAAGATCCTTAAATGCAGTTCGTAGGGGCCGACTTTTGACAATGAGCATTTGGAGAATAATAAGAAAACTTATGTGGGTCAGGTATATGATGCATCTAGGGGTCTTATCATATTTATCGAAACAAAAGGAAAAAACACGTAAGATATTACCGAAAGAACCCGAAACCTTATCACCGACTTTGAATTTAGAATTTTTTGATATAATAACCTCTGCAAATAATTCAAACAGTCGAAATTAAAGTTGCAATTTAAGGTAAGTTATACTTAGACCAATAAAAGAGATAATATCCTAGCTGTAGAGAAAACAATATATTTGATCATGTGATTCTGAACACTTTTGATGCTTTAAGTCAAAAATAACATTCATTAAAAGTAATGAAGTACATAGAACTAAAAATGTTGGTAAAATTATGAAACAATTTCACCACTATTGGTGTTAAATTGATAAAATTTGGTGAAATTAATTTCACCAACAACTCTAGCTAGGATATCAACCCCTTGTTTTCAGTGTGACTAGGGTGCTTTAAAAAGAATACATTACCACCAACAGCGTAACCACGCATTAATTCATTTATAGCTACACGAAATAAGGTTTATTGTTAATATATTATTTTAAATTTAAGAATAAACTTAGTGAATTATTTATTACCGAGAGGAGGAGTGTAGCTGATGTTCACAAAATGAATTGAAAGCGATTAAACGAATATTTTATAATTCTGCAAGAGTTTACCTTCTAACGTCATTCATCATTCCACGCATCGCTAAATTATAAGGCATATTAAGTAAGAAAAAGAGATTAAGTTTTGACAAACACGAATGAAAAATAGAATACCCGGGTCCAAAGATAAATAATAATTCTTTATTAGGATTTGTCCGTTAGACAAATCATTTTGTGACGGTACTGGAGCTTTTACAATTTTGAAAGTTTCACTTGGTTCAAAGAGGCCAGAAGGTCTCTTTACGAATAATATTCGAGTATTTTGAAGAGTCATTTTTACCATAACAACAAAAGACAAGACCTAAATTTTATCATGGCAGATTCTCATTTTTATTGGCTAATTCAATATATGATCTACATGCTGCATAAATTTCCATTCTTGATCCCATTAACCATAACTACGTCAAAAAGATAACCATAAACTTTGTTCCTCCAACCACCAAAAATAGAGAATGGCTAAAGCCAGGTACGTCACGAGATTACCCGATTAATAATTAGGGTTGGGGTTAGATTAAGTAGTTTTATAGTAAAAGACAGCCATTTTTTTATATTTTTTCGTATTTTTGTCTTTGTCGTCTCGCTTTGTTTTGTAATCCCGTGATGTAACCAACCCCAAAAATAGAAATTTTTAGAGAAATAGCGCGAGGAGATCAGTATGGTACAGGCCGAAATTAAACACCATACCATACTGATCAGCTATAATTCCTAACCCTAACGCTACTATATATAACGTCAGATCAGTATGGTACGGATTTTAAAATTCGACCTGTATTGTATTGTATTGTATTATATAAAATTCGGCCTGTACCATACTGATCTGCGAAGCTCCTCAATTGGATGTACGTAGCATGTGTCTTCAACTATGAAATTGACAGGGCAGAGGATTGATTTTCCGTTCACGTGATCGTCCGAAGTCAATTGTCTTCAAACAAAAAAATTCACTTACGTTAGGGTTCGAGCATATATTGGAATTAGAAAGGGTGTCCTTATAGTGAAATTGCACGAGGAATTTTTTTTGTTAGAACCCAAAAGGTGATTTACTAGTATAATTTTTGAGATAACCGCAATTTTTGCAAAGCGAGTGTTTGTTTTGAAATTTTTTACGTTACACATGATCCTGATTTTTGATTGGCTAGTTGATCTCGGGAATCACGTGTACGGAAAATCGATCCTCTGCCCTGGCGTTGTTCTTCAACTATAAATAACATACATAAAATGTTGATATTTAATACTAAAAATAATTATTAGAACTATATATTGTCAGATTCAATTATGATTATTAACAAGTTACCCTTAACAAATTGTGGTTGTGAGAAAATCAATGTGCTATGAGTTTAGCTAGCATATAATTTTTATATAACATATGGCGAACCAACAGTCAAGACTTGATTATACATGACAGATTCTGCAATATAAAATATTATACATGTTAGCAATTTTGTAATCTCTAATAGAAAAAACCCAATAATTGAGAATATCTCGTATTTAGGTTCTATATGAAGAATAACAAACCGTTTAAAGACCTGAAACTTAATAACCTTTTAAAAACCACAGGATAACAAAAAATTTAATATTAACGTTAAAGTGTACATATGTAATTTTGTGATAAAATCGAATCATCTAATCATGAGATCGATTTTTAGCGTAGGACAAATTCGTAATAATCACAATTTTGGGCAAAATAACTAAATTAATCGGCCAATGATCACCTGACATTTGCAAACTGGGCAATCTTCACTACGAGTATGGAGAGCATGGCACCAGCCGGATTCGAACCTGTACCTAGTGCAATGTACGGACCCGCGCTCTAACCGGAATGATCATATAATTTTTAAAATGTACTCCTTATAATCATCTAAAATTCTACTTGAATAGTCGCATCTGATTGGATGGAATTATTCAATTGTAACTAAATTTTTTTAAAGATACCGATACCATCTAAAATCGATAAATTTTTTTTTTTTAATTATACAGGGATATAGAATCAGAATAAAAAAAATTTCATCAATTTTAGATATATGGTTATCGAGATACCTTCGCTCAAAGTTTGGAAAAATTTTGCCACTTGTTTTGATAGTTATTCAAGTTTTTTCTAAACTTTGAGCGAAAATATCTCGACAACCACCTATCTAAAATCGATGAAAATTTTTTTATTTTAATTATACTGGTATATAGAATTGGAATAAAAAAAATTCATTAATTTTAGATGGATAGTTGACAAGATATCTTTGCTCAACGTTTGAATAAAATTTTGCCGCAGCTTTTGAAGTTATCCAAGTTCTTTCTAATCTTTGGGCGAAGATATCTCGACTACCTATTTAAAATTGATGAAAAATTTTTTATAGGATCAAAATAAAAAAATTTTATCAATTTTAGATAGGTGGCTGTGGTTGTCAAGAGAAAAATAGTATCCGGATTTTTTGTTGGCTTACATCGATTTCGAAAACTGATTGCCGATAAAGTTGAGTTTATCATGCTTAAAAATAATATTCGTTTTGATTTTCGCTTTGACTTTCGTCTTGACTTTGACTTTGACTTTCACTTTGACTTTCATTTTGACTTTAACTTTGATTTTAACTTTGACTTTCACTTTGACTTTCGTTTTGACTTTCCGTTTTGACTTTCGTTATGACTATTGTTTTGACTTTCACTTTGACTTTCGTTTACTTTCGCTTTGATTTCGAGAATATTTACTGTATTGAATTCACAAAATAAAGTGCGTCATATTTTAAGCAAAACAACTCGTTTAACTCGTTTAAACAATAAAATATAATAACTCGAACCAAACATGGTAATTAGTTACATCGCTAAAATTGTATATAGTTATTCAGTGCCTCTTATTATTCGTGTTAATTAGAATGGTGAGTGTAAAAAAAACTTTTAATTAATTAAAATAAATGATTCAAGTTTGTGAGTATTTACTTATTTGATTTACATTAATCTAGCTAATTGGGTGAGTATATACTTGTTCGCATTAATTTATTGTGAGTATGAAGTTTTTTACAAATAATTATTATTATATAGTGATGCTCATATCATTTTTTTTAGTTCCTGTTGTTAAGTAGAAAGATTTAGACTAAGACGTTTGTAGAATATCGAAAATTATTATCAATGAACTTAAAACACGAGCATTTGGTCGGGAATTAGTGAAATAAAAATTCAGAAATTCAGAACTGGATAATGTATTTAAGCTAAATATTGTCAGTTCTCAGAATTGATTCTGGACATATACGTATTTGATTTTGTTTTATTAGTGTTAATTCATTTGAGTATAAAGATCTTGATCGATTACTTAAATAAGCTCTTTAAGTTCGCGATTCTGTTTTTTATTTATTCTTGCTAATTTAATAAGTAAATACAAACTTAGTATTTAAAATAAATTATAGTTACATAATGCTATTCATCCTTTTAATTCGCATAATTTAATTATTTATAAAGATCTTTTAACCAATGCATTAAAATTCATGAATTCATAAATTTGTTATCTATGTTAATTTAACTTGTAATTGGTGTATCAAAAGTAAACTACTTTATAGTGCGTAAAGATTCTATGAATTTAAGATAAACTGTTTAAATTGTCTTGTTTTAATTATTATTTTTATTTATTTATTCACTATAACTAAAAAAAATGCAAGTTATTTTTATTGAATAAAAAAATTCATAATTTATCTGGCAATCAAAATCACATGTAGGCCAGCAAAATAAACTGGCTACTATTTTTTTAGGGACCATTCAAAACTGGTCCAAAACTAGTTAAACATGACAATTATATAAACTATATGGTTTATTTAAATTTCAATAAATTACATACCAGATATAATTACTTTATGTTAAAAACTATATATGTATTAACTAATTCCATGTCCATATTTTGTATATGAGTGATGCCAAGGAGGCATCTATAAATAACATTATATATAGATCAACTCTTTCCACTGATCATCAAAACACAAATTTTCTGAAATACAAAATTAATAAAAACTACGAAAGACACAAAAAGCTACTAAGAAACAAATCTTAGAGCTCTAAAAAAAGAAGAAGAACAGACAATGATGGAATATACTGGATAACAACTCCTCCCAAAAGAAGTAGCCGAAGCACAAATAGAAAAACTTTTTGAAGAATTTTGAAGGTATAATAGAGAAAAATTAGAGTATACTGAACTTGTACTTATAGAAAGAGACCATGAATGTTTTCATGAAGCAATACAAAAAGAAGAAAACCCAGTTGTTAAAATTATAAAAGAAGAGATAGCCGGTATTATAGTAGAATTAAGGTTAGGCGACAGATTAAGAAGA